GAGCAGTTCCTACAACACTTTTAAGCATCTTACATGATCATTGGTGAATCAAATTATATTAGCAGGTGAGTAAGTAGAATCTGGTTTTCTTCCTTCAATAATTATTATTCTGTAAATAAATTTATAAGCATTAGTAAAAAATAAAAATAAAGCTATAAGAACTTGTAAAAATAAAAGCAATATTACATTTAAACCAACAGTTTTAGGCCTAGAGTGCAGAATATAAGCGTAAAATGACAATACAAATTTCTTCATACATTTTATGCAATCTTTCTTTTCATAAACAATGCTCTTCGAGGTTATAAAAGTACTTTACTAGCTTAGACTGAACGTTCTAGTGACATAGACCATCTGATTGTCACCTATGATAGAGAAAATGTTATATTTGTACTGATATGCTTGTAGAAGTTCACCCCTAATGAAAATATATTTAAAACATTTTACATTCTATAACTCAAGTATGATGTTAGGATTTATTATGACAGTTTTTATGTAGTCTTTCTTTTTAATAATAGTGATCTTCAAGAGACCACACAGCTAGCTAACTTCAAACCTACAATATCAAGATGACAACAATATGTGGCTTCCAAAGAATCCACACTTTTAGTATAACGATTTTTCATATGATCTTCTGTGGCAGATTTGTTACAAGTAGTTGAGGGGCTGTCCCACATCTTCCAAACCTATCTAATATTGTAGGTACTTCGATAATATTAATATTTTTGTTATCCTTTGAGGTTCTCACAATGTATTTTAGTTTCTTCAGACATCTTAATATTATGTTTACAGTATCACACTTCTTACGGAATAATACTTTTCTGCTTTAATCATCGGTAATATGAATAGGTAGAAACTTCCGAAGCAGCTAAATCGGCATGTCCATAAGCTTGTAATACTGTAGTATTTGAAACAATGGTGAACAAGTGTTGAAAGTAAATAATCCACTGCTTAAACTCGTCCATAGACTGTTCAAAAAGTAAATTACACTGTAATTCAAAACTTTAATAAAGGTTATAGCATTCTGTTGTGAATATCATACGTAGTATATCAATTGACATATTATTGAACATCTAAAAAGTCAGTTCGAGTCCACCACAAAGTGGCTTCAGACCTCCCGAATGAACATCTGAGTTCAAAGGTAGGAACGAAATGATATGTAATTGAGCATGCTTAAGTTTGATCTTCATATTTATTCTACTTATTTCAAGATCTTAACTAAGATCAATGACGAATATAGTCTTCATATAAAAAATACTTTTCTGATCAAAGCTCAATTAGGCTAAAAATGCAGTAAATATAATATTACAATTGCCATCGTCAGTCACTAAATGTTCTTCCTTGTGTTGGTACTTTTATTCACCATTTAATAATGCAAACTTGATCTTGCTGGCCAGTAATAACATTTGCTATACAAATGTGTGACCATTTACAACATACTTCTAGTGAAATGAACAACCCTACCTCACTTATGTATATCGCTTTTTCTGTCATACTCTGAATATCAGCTCCTTGCACGCTCAATATCAATAAAATTATCACACTGTGAATTTAGCCTATCTTTATCAACTCCTATAAACTTAGCTCTTTTCATTATAACCATATTAAATAATTGTACATTTTTATATAAGCAACTAACGTCCAGACTACACACACACACACATATATATATATATATATAAACACACACACACACACTCCTTTTCACTGTTAATAGGAAGATATTCAAAGTATGCGTAGTCTTAGAAACCAAATCATGCGCGACTAACGTGGTTTACATAATTGTGAATTTAAAACTTTTCCACATTCTTTTATCCTAGAATAATTACGAATAAATAAATTGCAAAAGCTCACTTTCATGTATTCTACCCTGCCGGGTTGTTTTAATTGTAACCAAAAACCATGACATACATACAAGTATATTCTACTCATTATCTAAATACTTCGCTTATCTTGCTATAACAAAGTAAAAAAAAAAAGCATCTACCTATCAGTAATCAATCTAACATAATGATAACAAGTGCAGGATTATATTACTAGTGTTTGAAAGATAATTTTCCTAAATTTCTCATCAAAAACACTGTGGTATGAAAAACGGAAGAGTGATTTATCCGTGACAGATGCATGTAGGAAACTGCATTTTTAACTACATTCCTTATTCAGTCTTTACAGAATTTTGAAGAAGAAGAAGAAAGTGTATAATAGTATTTCAACCACATCATGTCCGCAATATCAATACTGTTTGTTGTGACGTAGCCGACCTGATGAACTCTGTATTGAGCGAAACCAGTAGTCAGCAATAGATATGGTGAACATAATGTGGTTGAAATATTAGTATATACTCTTCTTCTTCAAAACCTGTAAGGTACTGAATAAAGAATATAGTGCTAAAAATGTACTACGCTTAATACTCATATCTTATGACTAGTAAAATTAGTCCCATACTTTCTTGTCTTTGGTCAACAGGATAATCCAACAAGCTAATTTGGTTGTAAGTTATATATTTTGAGCCTTCAAAAGAACAAAATGAAAGCACATCTTTATCTTCAGCAAGTAATTTCTTCTGTTTATGGTGAAAAGTTCATAAATGCCTGTATCTGGAATGAACACAGCTGTTTATTACACTCATTTAAGCCACTAAAAACCTGGTGGATGCAGCACTCCTTTTTTTCACTGTTACAGTTAGCTCTCAGCAAATTAAATACTTTATTTTTACCAAACAGGCACCATGGTGTGTTCTTAACACTGTTACTAAAGGCGTAATACAATGAGGTTCTTCTCAAATCTGTTTCGTATAATGCCTGTTATTGCTATGTCTGACGATCGCATTATACAGTATCTACTTATCCTGTACAACGGAATGACTCTTGTTTCTTACATGTAACATGACGTACTATTGTAGGAAATAATGCGGCATCGATTTCCTAAGATTAAATTTCTTAGTAAATACATAAGCTAAATTAAAACTATATTGGCATTAAATCCTTTGTTCATATTTGACTTCTAAAGTTACACTAAAATATTTTGTGATATTTCTTTTTTCATGATTTGGTGTTTACTTAAAACACAACAATAGATTTTTGGTGACCTATATCAAAAAAATAAAACCAATACATTGTTGGGACCAATTATAATTTACACATCTCCCTTTGTAAATCAACAAATTACAAAGGGGGTTAATAGAACTTCATTTATTGCTGTATGTAGAAGTTTCGCTTAAACAATGTATTAGGTTCAAATACTTCGGTAAATACTGTAATTTATATGATTCACAATATACACCGAGTGTTTCCTTAAAATATCTTGCTTACATAAGACCTATACGTACTTTTATGTACGTTTTACAAATAATCCAAAACAGATGATTGTGAATTTTTAAACAGGATATCTTTGTTTGTGTTTCAGCGAAATGCTACTCAGTGGGTTACATGCATTCTGCCTATCGCGGGAAATCGAATCTCGAGTTCTAGCGTTGTAATTCCGTAAAGTATCCGCTGGCTAACGGGAAAGGGACATGATATAGGAAGTCATAAGTTCTTGCCTTCACAGACACACACACACACATACATAAATATCTCACAGGCTTATATACAAAACAAACGTAATGCAGAGTGGTATTTAACAATCATATTTTTTATCACCAAATCGCATTCATAAGACTGAAGGCCCCATATCTTGTATATTATTGAAATAACTAATATTAAAAGAAGGTGGACTTGAAGACCTGTGAGAGCAGTTGGTAGTCTTTCGGGAATACGTGAGTTTGAGATGTATAAAATGAACACAGCTATAGTTTATAGGAGTCCTTTAAGAGATTACGTAAGCCTACTTACATCCTGCAGTAAACAGTTTTATATACAATAGATACTGTATTTACGGTCAAATACAAAAATCACATTTTATTTTATCTTCAGCTTCAAAAAGATTTATATTTGCAACTTAATGGGAAACTCCTCTCGGGGCCTTTAGATGAAAAACCCGTTTTACTCCCACTTTTCATGTACTGACATAACATTGTACAACCAACAAACCTGTTGGTTGTGATGTACTCTATTTACGTATTATTTCCCAGACATCTCAGACACACAGATTTGTTATCCAGCAAGCACCGATTAGCATTCTTTTAAATTATTCAATAATCTACTCAGGCGTTCTCACATACAAAGTTCAAATTAATCCTTAAATTCAGCTATTCATCATACTATACCATCTAATATTCCCACCCATTTACAATTAAAATAAAGCACTTTTTTCTGCCACTCATCTACTCTATCAATCTTCTTTCTCGCATTATCTGCCTACTGTATTGAACGCTAACCAGTCATGATATCACTCTTACACTAATCCACTTAGCATGTATGAAAACCACCCACCTAAAATGCTGCATAAATCCGTGCATTTACAAATTCTACATCTTACAACGTAACATTTGAAGGGCAATGGTTTATTAATTAGATTGGCCTTATACACGTATTCTATAAAAGCTCGTGAAAACATTTTCCATCAATTAGTATTACTACCTATATATCCGTTTAACAACTGATTCATTCAATAACCTACACACTCGCTCACCGAAATACACCATTTGCAATCTCATGCATCAGCAAGTCTTCCATTAAGATTTCGGAAACTATTTTAGCTAATACATACTTTAATTTTACTATATTTTGGTACTAAAATAAAATTTTAATTACTTGAGCAAAATTCAAACCATGTGAGCAGATCATGCCAATAAACAGTTGTGGTATGTATTGAATTAAATTGAACAAAAGGTTTATGCGCATGTTTAGTGAACGCATTTCATATGGTATATATATTGAATTAAATTAGAAAAAAAAGACGCACATTTTCTGAACCTTTCACACTTTATTTTCGTGACCAAATTAATTAAAATACCAGCTTATGTTGAATCCGCCATGTTCAGCTGGATTATCTCAGAAGTAATTAAAATGTGAGATTCAGTTAAAATTAACAAGTTTATCAGACTTTTAATACTGTCTTACCCTGGGTGCCGAATGTCTGGCAAAGAGCGGTTGAGGGCAATGTAATCACTGACCAAAGCGTTAAATCCGTTGACTTTATACAATTGATCCTTCTTTTGTTCCACGCCAGGTGGCAAATAAAATGCTGTCCCTTGTTCTCCTGGTCCTTTTCTTTTGACATCTTCAGCAATCTGGGTGTAATTATGCCAGTCTATTTTTAGCGGCTTGTTTTCCTTCTGAAAATATAAAAATCGTAAAGAATTACTTAAAGCTATTACAGACACTCACGCACAAACACATATATAATATTAATTACACAATATAATTATATATATAAACAAGGTGGTCCAGCAGAGCAGAAGCACTTAGAAAAGTTTTCGGTAGTTATGGAAATTATTCGAATGAGATGCTTTCTGATCTTCTCGTAGTTTTCAAACGAGTCAGTGAATTCAGTGATTTCGGTCAGTCGGTGCTATGTGGTGTCAATAACCTATATGAAAACATGACCAAATTTGAAATAGTTTTGATGGTTTTCACCTATATTAGAATCTTTGACATTACAACTCTTGTTTCTGACCATTTGAAATCAGCTGGGCTTGAACTTCTTCAAGCATGGCGTATGATAAATGATGCTACGTTGCGTTTGAAAAATATTTCTAGAGATTTTGACAATTTATTTGAAACTACGTCTACATTCATACACCTAGTCAATGAAAAGGTTGCAGAAGATGAAATTGTAATACAAAAGGTTTTCCCAAAAATATGAACTTCTAGAACTTCTACTGTTGTTCAAGATCCAAAAACATACTTTGAAATATCCTGCTTCAATGTAGTTTTTGACGCAGTTCTGGAAAGTTTGGAGAATAGATTTGCTTCTCACAAAGATCTATACAAGGAAATTTCATGTTTGGATCCCAATCGATTTGAAGAAATAATTGCTGAACCAGAGAAAGTTGATCTTTGAATAATCTGTGAAGCAATTCCAGAAATTGATTTTTTTCAATGCATGAAAAGTTGGTGTCATTTGCTTCCAACTATAAACACTTGAAAAGAGGTTTACATGAAACTGATGTCACAGAGACAGAAGATGACGTGCTGGATAAAACTGCAGATGAAATTGAACCACAACCGCATACGCTCGTGATTGTAGAAATTGTATTTTCATGTGCATTTAAACTTTTATGCAGTAATAGATTGTGTTATTCTGCCTAATAAAACTTGTATTAGGTATACAAATATATTATAATACTTAGTGTTATTTAATGTTCACGTGAGAGATGTTTTTCCAAATTGAAGATTCTAAAAACTCGCTTAAGACCATCAACAACACAATAAAACTTGGAGGCACCGATGCTCATTGCAGTCGAAAAAGACATTTCTATCAACTTACGAAACAACAAAGATTGTATAACCGATAAATATAAATCGAAAGGAGCTTTGTTTGTTTGACATCTAGCAGTTATTTTTATTTACTTTAATAACAAAAATGTTTTTTTTTTGTCTGTTGCATTTTGTAATAATACAAATGTTTTCATTTGTTTGTTGCATTTTTTTTATTTTAGGAGGCCCCATTTTTGAAAGTGACGGAGTCCAAAAAATGTTGTTAGTCCGCCTCTGTTGACATTTATACTAATTACACAAGTACATCATGCATTTATATAGTAACTTTTAGTAATAAACCATTTCTAACTATACTCTGTTCGTCTTAACACAATCAAGTTAACTAGTTAATAATAATAATATTTTTGAAAATATATTCACATCACACTCAGTGTATTCGAGGTAAGAACAACTCACTGAAATATCACGATTTCCTACTTTCTAGCAAATCCTCACACAGTTATTGCATTTTTATATAATATCACGTTAATCGAGTGTTTCCAGATAATAACTTCAACATGGGCTGACAGATGTACGTTAACAAGATTAATCTACAGTATATCCTTTAAAAAACACATCTTTGTTTAGCCAGGGTCATAGAAACTACTGAGCTACCTGCTTTGTTAAATATCACATCAAAGTGTCATACGATTTACATACATTATGAAGAAACTTGTGTACTTAATAAACCATACATAAAAAAGGGAGTTGTTTGTTGTTAAACACAAAACTACACACTGGGCTATCTGTACTTTACACGGTGCAGGTATCGCAACCCAATTTATAGTGTTATAAGCCTTTAGATCGCTGAGTCACCAGGGGGGGGGGAGAATGTGCTTTGAATCAGGTGCCTGCATTGTTATATTGCACCTACATAAATAAGTAAACTATCCTTTTATAATGTTAAACAAGCTTTATAAACTTCTTTAACAACAAAAGCTGTATAATTGAGGTAAAATAATTGTTTGTTTGTTTTGAATTTCGCGCAAAGCTACACGAGGGCTATCTGCGCTAGCCGTCCCTAATTTAGCAGTGTAAGACTAGAGGGAAAGCAGCTAGTCATCACCACCCACCGCCAACTCTTGGGCTACTCTTTTACCAAGGAATAGTGGGATTCACCGTCATGTTATAACGCCCCCACAGCTGAAAGGGCGAGCATGTTTGGTGGGACGGGGATTCGAACTCGCGACTCTCAGATTGTGAGTCGAGCGCCCTAACCACCTCCTCTGTGTCTTGGTGATTATATTTTATTAAAATTCATGTATTTCTTACAACTTATGCGTCTTGGTGATTAAATTTTCTTACAATTCATGTATTTCTTACAACTTATGCATCTTCGTGATTATATTTTTTTTCTGTAATAGATCAAAATGAACTACAATGTGTGATATTAATGTGTAACAAAACTCTAAGTACTTTTTCAATGAAGTCGTAAAATACAGTTTTAAACCCACATTTTTGTTTCCTACGGATGACGCTGTATCTAAATTTAACGAAATACTCTGACTATATACTCCTGAAAGGTCGAATAGAAATTTCCAATGACTTTGAATGAAATAACAAAATTATAAAGGAATCTGTCGTTTGTTGCCCAATGCGATGGTTTAAACGTCAACCACAAGAGAACCTGTAAAATCAATTGATTTATATATATTCTACGTAGCTGAAAAAGCCATTTCAATCGATTTTAATGTGCATTATCATTATAAATTTTATAAATTCAGAGACTCCTTTTGAGCTATCATAGCATATAAGAACTGATCTACTATGAACTTTGGTAATAAGTTAAGCAATTACAGCTTATACACTATATCGATTTAATAGAACGTTGGCCAATAATGACTGAACGAATAACACCCGGAAAAGGCCTTCGTCGTTCAATATTCAATACTGTTAGTGCCCTCTGATGGAAAATTGATCAACTTTAATGAATCAGGTGTTGTGTACTATATGAAACTGTTCCTTGTTAAACGTTTTTAACACAAGCTGATATCAATTTAAAAACTTAATAAACAACACCATCTCCAACAAATTCGTGTATATGGACATTTTCAGACAGGAGCTGCATTGATTCGTTGCATGTTGACAATTTTTGTTCTCTTACTATGTAACTAAACTGTGCACTAAAAAATCTAGAAACATGTGAGTTCCTATCTACATTAAACCACATATTACTATAAGCGGGACATTGTACAATAAATAACGTTTATTGAATAAACAATGCGACGTGACTAATTTACATTTGTAATTAAACGCACTTGCTTTAACTCGCGCTGTGATGAGTGTCACAGACGTAAAAACTAATACGATTAAAAAAATGTTTCCATCAACTCAAAACCCGTTGAAAAATAATCCTCTTTTTATAACCGTCAAAGTATAGAAAAGGAATTCCATAGGAAATGAAAGCCATTTATCACTGTAAGCAAGAAATACAACAGAACATCGCACGAGTCCAACAGAATACTGCGACTTTTATGACATTTCTTTACTCCATAGATTTGTCACACACTGGTTCCTGGTGAGACGACACTAAACTTCACAGAGAAATGCGACAGTGGCCACTCGTTTTTCTTATTATTACTGTGATTTGTCATTACGTTGTGGCATCTTTGCTATGGAAACGGTGATTTCCGGAGTGAGTACGACCTAATATTTTTGTTGCGGAAACAATTAATTTTAGCAGACTGTCTAAAACCGTATCTTTTTTCGATTAAACATCACTGTTGACTGGATTTTATGGTAAGAATTTCGCCGTAGTTTACTTTGATCACATGGAACTAGCTTTATTTTACAACTTCTGTAGCTTTTCCAGAAGCTATCCATCTTCGAAGGAGTACAGAAACGAAAGCTGTTCCTATGTTGAAATAGCATACTATGTATACATTCAATGAATCAATCTACGTGTTACGCTAAGACGATTGATTACCCAAGTGATAAGAGCGTATTGAAAAGGGCTAAGGATCCACTTAGCGATGATTCACAGTATGATGATGAGGTACACTACCATAAGATCAACTAAGATTTTAACTTAAAGACAAGCCAAATTTAGGACAAATAACAACTAAATAGTGATGAGAACTACAGATAAACTGGTATAAGCCGAACATTGTAACGGTCAGTAGTTAATTGTAAGGAATCTCGCTCTTTAATTTTACTTGTTACTACAAATAACAAACATATTAAATAAGATTTAATTCTCTAACTAAGATGCAGGCAAATTGAAGTTGGTTAAGAGAGGTAAAGAAGTGCTAATTAAAGAGAAGGATTGGGCTTGTTTAAAATCTTTACGTTTATATTAAATATTGCATCACATTAAGTTAGACACAGGATTGATAAGTTTACCCACACTTCAAAAATATTCTAAAATATTGTACATATTTCACTTCTTCAGCTACACCAACTTTGATTTAATATTAATTTTTCATGAAAATAGATATCAGAATGATAATATAGTTGAAGAGGTTAACATAAAAGTGTAGATGATTTTTAAGGACCAATCAAGCAGGAAGTTTATTCCTTCTTTGGTTTTGGTTTACCATTAAACCTAACATGGATGCTCATAAACCAGGGATTGCAAAGTCCTTTCAGTCTATTACTATATCAGAGATCCAAGCGATCAGGACTAACTGATGATGTTCTAGAATCTCATCTGAAGAGGCCCTAGTGCAGCTCAGTAGTTAGCGTGCTGGGCTGAAATTCCGTGGTTTGCGTTCTCTGACTGCCGAAAAATCGCGCTCCGCAATTCGAGGTCACGGATGTTTTATAAGAATGACGATCAAATTCCATTATTCGGTCTGACAAGAGTAAGCAAAGTAATGGCGGTAGTTGATGTTGACTAGCTGCCTTTCTTCTAGTC